TTCTGAAACAGCTAAAATGGTGGATCCTTCCGGGGGGGGGGTAGCATATATATATATATGTATATTTGTCAGTCGAGTGCCCGCGGTGACAACCGGGCGCTTGCAGGGTCCTTGCCTTGGCGGCCACGGGAGCCGGCGCCGGAGCCGGCTCGGCCTTGGCCTTGGCCTTCCCCTTCGCCTGCGCATTTGACGAGATAAGGAAGGAGCCAGAAAGGAGGGGTAGTTTAGGGTTTAGGGGGAAGTTCGGAAGAGAGGGGTTTAGGGTTTAGGGGGGAGATGTCGGGAGGAGCGGTTAAGGTATGTCACGACCAGCCTTGGGTTCCGCCGGCGCAGGGGCCGGCGCCTTGGCCCCCGCCTTTGCTTTGGGATCTGCCTGGCAGGGCACGGGCGAACTTCGAGGGTACACTCTTGTGGAGCCCTGTCGGAAGAGGAGCCTTCGCTGCCCCCTTTGGCTTCGCAGCCTTCCCGGAGAGCCCAATGCCCCTTAATTAAGGAATATACCTTAAATCGTAACATTAAGGCCCCTTATAGTTTAAGGGCGTATTCCTTAGTTAAGGGGTATTGGGCTCTCTGGGTTCGTCTCTCACAAACCAGGGACGTCTTGGCCCACGTCTTCATGAGTCCCAAAAACACCAGGCCTCTGGGGCAGCCGGGGCCTTCGCGGCCGCCTTGCCCTTGGCCTTGAAGGGTTTAGGGTCTTTTTGTTTAGGGTTTAAGGGCTTTTTCTGCGAGATTCAGAGCCCAAGACGCTCAGAAAAGAAGGCTCAAAGAAGGAAGAGACAAAGCGGATCCGAGCTCCGAGATCCGCACCGCAGCGGCCTTCGGCTCCGGCTTGGCCGGCTCTTCCTGCGAGTGTTGTCGCAGTCTCAGTCTCAACTTACTTGCAGAGCATGGCAGTTTCTTAAAAAATGCCAGTCCATTGGCTTTCAGATTTATGGCGGAGTCGGGGGTTTCGAGGTTTCGAGGTAGAGAGCTGCAGCGCTGGCGAAGAGAGCCCTCTCTTCTGCGCCTTGGCTTTCGCCTTGGGCTTCGCCGCCTCGGTGGGTTCCAAAGCGAGCGGGTCTGGGCCCCTTTGCCGCTGCTTGGACTTCCGAGCCCTCCAAGGGCCGCACCGCCTTCGGGGCTTCCTTGGCCTTGGCCTCCCGGACTGCGCTCCCAGCTCCCTAGGCCCAAAACCCAAAACATCCTCTCACCTCCCCACCCATGCAGATACCATCAGAATCATGAAGGGCCGCAACAGAAGATAGACTCTGACGGACCAAGCCGCCGAAAAGAAGCCACCGAACAAGCAAGCTGACTCACAACGTGAGTGGTCAACAGAAGTATGTGAACAAGCAGCAATGGCCGGCACTGACATCAAAAGAGAACCTTCAACTATGTGGCCCTTAGGAACCCTCTGAAGAAATCCTCTACAGAACCCGATGCCATAAACTCCCTTGCTAAAACCCACGGTAAAAACTACCCAAGTCGAGTCGAAAAGGAAAAAGACCGGCTCCCTCTGTTCGGCGCCTTCGGCTCCGGCGTAGCCGCAGCCTTTGCCTCGCAGGTGGAACCCGGAAACCCCCTCGCATCCCTCCGCTGGCGCCCTTTGGGCCTTGGCTTGGGGCTTCATCTTGTGGGAAGCTTAGGAGATCTTACAAGTTAAGGGTTTGGGGCTTAGGGTGCTTTGACTTGAAGGTTTCGGGTTTGAGGATGGGTCTGAGGGTCTCGAGGTTGAGCTCCACGCACTAAGCCTTTTTTCTCTGGCCTTCGGCTTCTTCTCCGGCACAGGCTCCGGAGCAGGCGGCGGCGCCGCTTCTGCACGCAGGCGGACCGTTACCACACACGTACGGGGATCAGAAACTCATCATTTCAGACCGCACTTCCCGTGGCCTTCGGCGAACTTCTCGTCACGCGCCTGCAGCATCGAAGGTCTGCTCATGAAGGCATGGGGTGAGCCCCGAAGCCACAGCGACGCGAGCAGCCAAGCCGCCTTCTTGGCGGCGCGGCGCTTGGCAGACTTGGACCTTGCAGTGGCAACCAAGCACGGCAAACGCTCGCGATGACCGCAGGAATCTGGGCCAAGCGCAACTCACCGTTGTTGGTCACCTTCGCGGGACAAGTTGTGCTTCTGTCAAGCCGGGCAGATGACTGCAACGCCGATGACACGATGAAGCTTCTGAGCTCCCACCTCAGCCATGGTGAAAGGTGAGAAGGCGGCGATCGAAGGCGCCTGGGTGGAGGCTTGCATACAGAAAGATCAGCCGTTGTGTCTTCAGGTCCTCTTGTCCTCGTGCTGTGCCGGCAAGGAACGGAGGCGAGCGGGGTAGTCAAGGCCGGTCGGGGCCAAAACTTCAAGCAAACTCGTGAGCCAAAAAAGTAGCAATCCAGCGTTTCTGCGGGTGACGACTGCACGTCCTAGGCCAGGTGAACTAGCGCCTTCAAAGTGTAACTTCACACTTCTGCGCCTGCTGCCTTGTGTGTGTTGGCCGATGTCGGTTAAATAAATGCCCTGCTTTCGCCGCCTCATCCTAGCCACTGCTGGTGTGCTGTGAGGGAACAGTCGTAACGAGAATTGCACCAACTGCATCGAGGACTCTGCAGCATAGCAGGGAAGGTGCTCCACCTCAACGGTAGAGAAAACACGAAGCCTCTTGGTACAGAAACTTCGTGCGTGCGCCAGCCCAAACCTTGGCGGAAAGTGTGGAGTTCTCTTTGCTCGAACTTTGCATCTCCTGCCCACACCCTTTGGCCTTGTCGCTTGCCAGGGTGAAGTCCATTTCAACAGGTGCAGAGGAGACTAGCCGGACCTGTACAGGCACACGGGATCTTTGGACCAAAGGTCTGGTAGAACATGACCGTCGCCTCGGAGGTGACCTTCCCAATCTTGCTCATGAAGACCAGCGCAGCCGGCAACTGGTGCATAGGCGAAACGAGACCCTTCCATGAGCTTCCGTGCTCGTCGGGACCTCGACGTCCGTGACAACCCCCATGCTCACGCAGTCTGCGACATCCTCGCAGCGGGGCAATGCCGTCGAGCTTATTGGGTATGGCTTTGCTACGATAAGGGCAGCCGGGTTCAGTGGAACTGGAAACATCCGTGTGCTTGCCTGCAGACGCTTTCCGTTGACAGACACCAAGCGATCGCCCACCTGGATGCCAGCCTGGCTGGGATGTCGAGGAATGGAAACTGCTTAAGAAAAGTCAGCGGAGAGAGAGAGAGAGAGAGAGAGAGAGAGAGAGAGAGAGCGGGGCCTTCTCCGCCAGCCCCGGACAACGAACCATCGCAACAACAGCCCCTGACTGTCGGAGGCCTCAGCACAAAGGGCAAGGGCCCCGGGCCCGAGAAAATCGCTAAGTTCCGAGGCCGGCGGCCTGGCCGCAAGACGAAGTCCTCCCGCAACGTCGTGCCTCGGCTGCGAGTTGGCCCGGAAAAGAAGGGGCGGGTGATCGCGCTGGATGTCTGGGTCTGCGGCTGTCCTTGTACACCACCAGTCGGCCCACGAGGCCTTGGTTCGGCAGCTTCTTTGCGTGAGCAACTCGCCTGGAAAGAAAATGGGGACGGAAAAGTGCATAAGAGGCGACACTGAATCTGCATCTCTCCTCGAAATCGGCACACCTCGCGAGATGAGCTCGAGCGCAAGGGGTCCTGCTTCCCCTCTGTCACGGGACAGCACCTCACATCCTTCACATCCTTCGCTTCGATCACAGGAGAAGTGGCGGATGTGGACTTTGAGAGATCCCTGCGACTCTTGCCGAGCTAAACCCTAAAGCCCACCGTTAGAACAGACTTGCCAACGTGGCATCAGCACACTATGGCACGATTCAAAAATAAGGGCCTCACAGGGGTGAGCTGGGCACCGAGCCGACTTGCCGGCGCTGCTGTTCCCAGGAGCGCTCCTCTGCAGAAGCGGCATCGCTGCAGGGCTCGTGCACGGCTAAGGCCGGAGAGCGTTATCAGGATTTAGTAGCTCAGTAGCTGCCGGCTGTGGTTCAATTAATGCTGCAAAGAAGCAACGCGAAGAAAGTGTGAAGTGACTGCGCTTGCCAGAGCCCGGGGGGCAGCTTTGCAAGAGGTGGAAATATGAGGGACAAACAGCACATGCCGTGTTCTTCGATGAATCCTCGATGTCAAAGGCATCCTCGCCCAAGCAAGGGGGAATTTCCGAATCCGCACCACCTGACACACTCACGGTGCTCCGGCACTCGCAGTTGCAGTGCTTGGACAAGGATCACGACCTGAATCTTAGGTCTGACGAATCTACAAACAAGAAGACTGGAGTACTCGGTTTAGTTTACCCTCTTGGTCCCCACTGGGCTCCTGGAGGGCCCCAAAACATCTCTTCCTCTTCCCGACATGCCCGAGAAACCGCCTTCTTGTAGCTCCCGGAGCTCCGAGCTGCAGTCCTTCGAGCTCTCCTGGCTGCGAACGTCGCAAGGCCAAAGCTCACTTTGGTTAGAGCTCCCTTTTTCTTCAACTGCGCATCTTCCTTGACGCAGATACCCACAGTCCTGCAAGTTTTGCATCAGTTGCCCTCTGGCGGTCTTGCTTCGGACCCCATCATGTGGACTCCAGGCCTCAATTCAATCCTGACACTCCGTTGCCCCAAGACAAAAAGGACAAGAAGAAGCCCCGCCCCTAGGACCCGCCTGGCAGCCCCGAAGCGGGTCGTGCCTTCGGGAGCGCTTGTTCGTGTCTCCCTCTCTGCGGAATCTTCCGCTGGGCCTACAGTAGCCTGCAGATCTCTGGACCCGAAGCCCGAGGCAGCAGAGTGCACACTTCTGGCCTCAGATTCCTGGCTTGCGATTCCCTGCCCTCCTGCTCACGGGACGCCGAATGCCAGAACAAGAGGCGGGTCTAAGCACTTGCAGAGGCACGCAAAGATGTCTCATGCACAGGTAGGGAAGTGGAGACCCTCCTTGCTGTGCTGCGCTGACCACATCTTTGGCTCGTCCTCGCTGGAACCCAAAGTTTTCTCGCCTTTATCCACACCCAAGAGCTTCTTTCAACAGAGCACCCGCAAACCAGGGAAAACCCCTGCCACTGCACCTCCACACTACCTCAGTTGGATGATGCTCGTTCAAGAACCTATACTTCTAGAATCCATCTCAAAAGTTCGAGGAATCCAATGTGGCTGCTACATGTCGGGAGCCCTGCTGGCCAATGCGACATCTACACACCGAGGGCGTTCGTCTGTGGCAAACATCGCTGCTGTCACTCCCCCGGTGATGTCACCCGCCGGCCTGAATGCTTTCAATGCAGACACCGGAAAAGAGCCCCAACCATGCTTCAACCCTCCCATCCCTGGTCCAGCGCCCTCATCACTGCCACGGCCGCGCTGCGTGCGGCGAAGTGGTCGCAGGGCTTTGCCGAAAGCAGGGACTGACGCCAGCGGCTGACCTCCAGCTTCGCAGAAATTGAAGACAACTGGGATGATCTAGCTCTGACGGCCCCCAGCTGTTGGCACTGTGGACTGAAGTGGCGCGACGAGATGTTGGACGAAAGCAACAAACAATGGCATGAAACTTCAGGACGCCGAGACGACGGCATGAAACGACTATGGGAGGACCGGATGAATCAATTCAGATGGGCGTGTGGGGCTGAGACGGCTGAGAGTTAGTAACGGTGAGGGTGAGAGTAAGAGTGAGGGTAAGGGTGAGAATGAGCGCGATGGTGGTGGTGAGACTCACTTTCAGGGTGAGGAGCAGGATGAGAGTGAGGGTTAGGGTGGGTCAGGGTAAGGGCGAGGGTGAGGGTGAGCCTGACTGGGAGTGTGGGTTGGCAAGCCTTCGTGCATGCTGCTTGTAAAGATGCACATGATGCACAAAATAAGGTCATAGCCATGTGAAGGCCCAAAATAGACTTCGATATTCCGCTTGAGCTGCTTTTACGTGGGATAAGCGAGCAAGCTCGAAAAGTGTGAACTCAGACCGGTTCCCTCCGCGGGTTCTCCAGAGTGGCTTTCGAGTTACTGGCTGAACCTGTAGACAGCCAGATCCCCACGGCCTGAAGAGCACCACAACGGACTCCGGGGCGCATTGAGAAGAGTGGGCTATTGCTCATCATCTCCTCGCACTCGCAGACAGGAAGAAACAGGTGTGACGGAATCTTCACATCACCGTCGCTCCTTCTGGGGGCTTGCAACTGCCACCTGGTGCCAAACATCCTCGTGGGCCGACGACAGAGCTCTTGCTTACACGACATGTCTCAGAAGCATCAAACATGACGGGGAAAACGGTCAGAAGATGTCAGAGCGCTGTTACATTCAAGGGCACCTCATAAGCACCCTAGGCTGTCTTGGACTCGTCAGGACGAGATGCCCAGGAGCTAAACGAGAACAGCACGTCGTCGTCATCGTCGCCGGCCATGCCGCTTAGCGCCCATAGTACTGTTTCGGGAGCCTACCGGGCCTACTGCTTACAATGTCGCACCGAAGCGCTGAAGGTTGGCTTGCCAGAAACAGCTGACATGACAGGTGCAATCTACTTGAATCGCAGCACCACAACGCCTACATGACTTATGGTTTTCGCGGCAGGAAATGCAGACATGCATGATTAGAGTTGGGGATGCCTGCCCTGGCCAGTCAAGGCATCCTAGACTCATCCTCGACGTCTCGAGCCTAAAGTGGCTAGCATGGCCAAAGGCCTCCGCGCGAAAGCCCGGGCTCCGAAACCCTTCCCTGCCCTTTTCAGCTCCTGGCTCCTGGGTTCCCGGAGCTTCCCTTAACTCCTCGACGCCCTGGCACTGGCACCCACAAAGTGAGGTTGTAATGTACATCTTGAAGCTGCCACAGGGCTGAAGATGCAGTTCCAGAGCCCACACGCTGGGCATGGGAGGTTTTTTTATGAGGAGGCTACTTAAATGCTAACGCCTAGGCCTAGGCCCCAAGCTGTGGTCTCCACGGGGATCCTGACTCAGTGTGTCTTCTGCCCTGTGGCAGGGGCTGTGCGAGGTGGTCTGCTGTGCTTCGGCTCAGGGGGGCTCAACAAGAAACTATGCCACGGCGACCCGGACTGCTGCTGCACAAATCATGCTCGCATACCTAGATTTCCCTACCTGCCAAGTGACCACTCGCATCAGGCTATAGACAAAGTGAAACACCTTTTTGGCATTGCCCTTCAAACTTGGAGTCAACTTCTTTGAGTCAGCTCGGGTTACGACTGGTGGGACCCTCCTGTTGCTAAGCTATCTCTCACACCGCCCCCACAGCCTCGCAAAGGCACGGCAGCAACAGACGAACGACTGACTTGCATGCAGCTGCTGCATTGCATTGATGCCGTCTCCGGAATAAATCCTTTGCTTTGCTGCGTCAACCAGAGGATCCAGAAGCATCTGCAAGACAACTTGTGCCAGTCAACACTCCGGGATACACACCACGATGCAAGAGCAGTGTCAGCCTTTGCGCCTGTGCCTCTGTCGCACCGTCACAAGACTAACTGTGCAAACCTTCCGGAAGGTTGACAGGAACGGCTGCAGAGGAACCCCGAAGCCAAGAGGAACCCAGAAGCCAAGAGACCACGAAGCTTCCAGGCCACAGAGACTGGGGACGCCGTCCTTCTGCCGCCTTCGCTCCTGAAAGGTGGCTGTCTTTTTGGGGGTCTGGGGCATACGAAGATACTCCGACGCAGGTCCTGAGCTGGTCGCGCGAAGGTCTCAAACCTGAGACTCAGGGATTTTGTGTTCGGAATGTGGCATCCAGGTGCAGCGCAACCGAAGCATGTGGCCCCTTCAGGATTGGAGGATCGTTCGGGCCTATGTCTGACTGGCTTTACGCATCTGACCATCACTCCTTCGTGCTTCTGCAGATCCTCTGCGCATTAAGCACATGTGAGCAACATAGAGCCATTGAGGCGAGGATGGGATTTGAAAAGCGTAAGGGGCTCCGCAATCGAACATCCCTACTTGAGGCTGCACAGCATTACAACCTGTTGCCCGGCACTCCGAACCGGGCACCTGGGCGGTAGCGACCTCATGATCACGGGGCTGGCCTCCTCGGCCTTCAGGGCTTTATGACTCGGACAGCATCCCTTGTTGAGAACTTCGAACCTGCGAGCTCTTCAAGGGACCCTTCGAAGCATCTTGAAATCAAATCCCATTCCAACCGGCCATCAAGGATTCCCAAACAAGCGTTCGTTGGGGATCTGGCTGCTTTGGAGGTTTTTGCATGACTTGCCTTTAAAGCGTACATCATAGCATCGTCTAAACAAGGGCATGCGAATTGAGATTCCTCTTGGGGACTCCGAGGTAGTTCAAATTGGAGCGCCTGTCCTGGCTAGGCATGTCAGGACTCCCGCCAGCCACACCACAGCAGAGACCGACCCTTGAAGGAATGAGCAAAAACCGTTCCAGATACAGGAACAGGAAATCTTGCACCACCACATACCACCACACAAAACACGTATGGCAGGCATCACAGAAGCTTTCCTCCACGTACACGCTGTACTTGGAGCAATAAGCTAAACAATCAGCATACCTACTAACTCATTGAAACGAGCTAAGCTCAAGTTGTTCAAAGCCGATGCAACCCTGTAGCAACTTTAACAGAAGCACGGGGCTGATGAGTCCAGACGTGGACCCCGCGGCGCATCATGATTCCCGACCATTGTGTGGTCGAATGTCTGACTGGACAAAACCCGGGAAAGACTGTGCTAAGCGGCATACTGGATCTCGACAGCAAGAACCCTCGACCAAAACTTGAGGATGTGATGGCAAAGCCGACCCTGCACAAGCTACAAGTAGAGGGGAATGTTGGGTGCCGTCACAGATCCACAACCTGTATTGGTATGCCGCCATGCTCGAAGGAGTGTCCTTCGTAGACAGCCCGAAATCCCGAAACCTCCTACGGTTTGGTAGCAAGAGGGCCACCAACCAAAATCTGGACAGCCGAGAGCATGGATTGCAGTCCACAAGCCCCTTGGTCGATGCCAGCATTGTGTGGCAGCAGACTGCGCTACCGAGTGTTGTACTGTGGCGCACGCAAGAGACATCATACAACTGCAACCCCGGGCGTAAACTACAGCCTTGATCCCACTCGGCCTCGTATGTGATGGGTCGGGACTCGCAGGTCAGAAAAGGCCTCCGACGGCAAGAGCTAACTGCCAATGTTGCAGGCACGGCTCAGCATCATGCTGGTCGCTGCGATGCAAACAAACAATAAGAAAGCAGAAGAATACACCATCTTGGCAGTTCTCTGAATGGGGGTCCCTTTTAAGTCCCCAAAATAGTACTACACACTTATATAAGGGAGCCTATTTTCAAGAGTTACCCATCTCTACTCACGACCTCTGCTGCAAACAGTCTCTCATAAGCGGCTCGAGGCGGCTCTGAAACATCATTCACGACAGCCATCCCACCAGCATGGAAGTTATGCTTACGAGCCGAGCTCTTCCCTCGGCTGTCATACTGTACTCGACTTCTTATACATATCTATGCACATATACATATGTGCGTGTGTATATATATATATAGATATATATATATGTACTTTTTGGTTTATCTATCTATTTAATTTTGTTTGTTTACATTTATTTATTGGCGTTTGGACTATTATACTATACTATGTTATATTGTACCATTATATTGTATTACCTTTTCTCTTCGATCTCACTTCAAAACTCTAGGCGTCGGGCAGCGTGCTCTGCGTTTCAGCCTTGATCTGCTCGACAAGCCGCTTGGCCTCCGCAACAACTCTCCAAGCCCGAACTCTTCAGTCAGCTCTCATACACATCTGCATGTACATACATACATACATACATACATACATACATACATACATATATATATATATACATAGATACATACATACATACATACATGCATGCATTCATTCATTCATTCGCATATTCGATTGATTGAGAAGTGATTTTTTATGTATCAATGTATGCATGTACTCATATCTCTATGCTCATGTTTGTGGACATATTTATATCTACATGAATCTTTGTGCTTGCATGTATATCTATTTTCAATATCACATCTACACTTACATATGTATATATGTATATGGAAACATACATACATGCATACATACATACATGCATGTAGTTGTCTAGTTTTGTATGCATGGATTCGTGTGGTTATTTGCTTGAATGTATAAGTGGTATATACTGCATACTGTGTATGCTGTATATATCGTATACACCATGTATGTGTACGTAGATATGTATGTAAGAAAATATTGTATATCAGCAAGCAAACGAATAACTGACTAACTAAGTAACTAGCTAACTGGCTGACTACCTAACTTACTTACTTCCTAGCTGACTGACTGACCAACTAACTACCTAACTGTCTCTATATGCAGGTACACACATACATACATGCATACACACTCACGATAAAAACAATGTATATAATATAAGGACACAACATAATATGGCATGCGGCAGAATGGTTGAACAGATAATGTTTTTGTCCCGCCGCCTCTTTGTTCCGGAGCTCGTAGACCGCAGAAAATGGCGAAACCGACGCCTGTGAGTCAAGGTCGGAGGAGGGCCGAAAGCGCAGATACCATAAATACTGGCAAACATAAATACTCTATGTATGTTAAACGAATTATATATGTATCTATATGTATATATATATGTATATAGAGAGAGTATTATGTATGTATGTATGTATGTATGTATGTATGTATATACTATCAACATATAGGGTGGATCATCGTCGTTTGCCCCGGTTTGTCTTCGAACAAAGTGCAACAAGCATGGCAGGGACGCATGTTAGCATTGTTGAACATGGCGTCCCCGTGATGATGATATGCAAAGCAAAAATGCTAAAAAAACTCGATGTTTCTGTGCAGCCGAGTTTCTCAATTTTGACAGGGATTGTGGCGGGCATCCCGCTGGCATCATTGAGATGTACGAAAAACAAATAACTAATTATGACCTTAATACGAGAACAGACACAAGAACAAGGTTACTGCGCCTCAAGTGACCCCTGGTATTTTGCACGTAGAGATTGCATCAATATGCTTGAAACTGGGGTTTTGGCATGGTTTGGGCATGGATGCTCTGGTAACCGTATGCTCTTGAAACACGAACCTTATTATGGTTTGGGCATGGATGCTC